TCTCGCGACATATGTCTTCTTTCGGTCTTGATACGATGGATAAAGGGGACCCAGTGTTTCAAATAATTACAACAGTCGCGGTTTAGGAAGTCCAAAATTTGATTGAAAAAGATGTGCTAAATGTGGTCTTTTAGGAACAGTGTTTATTATTCTCGGACTGTTATTGTATTCATCTGTTTTTAATAAATACGGAACGGTAAACCTTCACTATTTTGTGATATAACGTTTTTAGTTATTTCAGGGATTGAGTGCAAAGTAATGTACCATCTGTCACATTTGAGAATTTCACTCACCGGAGTATCGCGTGTTCTAGTTAAACAGGGAAGCTGTACGAAATGTATTCAATGATCTGACGATGAGAGCACATCGGGCACACCTTCTCCCATCAATTTGTGGTGTAGTGTGCAACCGCTACACTTTATTTGTTAATCAAGGTTTGTAACATTTGTAGAATATAATTTTTTTCAACATCCGTTGACTTCAGAAAATTCCGATACTTTTTGATCTGACTCGCCTACTGTTGCGTGACTAAAACATGTCAGTTGAGGCTACAAGATTAGAGTTCGTGGCTAAAGAACAGCTGGTTTTGACAAAGTGTGATGAAAAATGGTGTAGCATTCACGAAATACTTATACCGGCTAATCTCTGAGGTGAATCCTCCCGTCTTTGGTAATTCTGATCACAGTGTGCATTTATTGTTATTACCCTTTTTAAAATCACATTTGTTTAATAACCCTCAAAGTTATTAATATAAAGGATGATCGCTTTTACATGAAAAGAGATGCTATTTTCTGCAGGGTAATGAACGATCATCCTGTTCACTATACTGTCGTGGTGTAATATGTATCCAGTTCCCACATTGAAATGACTGCTTGCGTTTGCCTGGGAAACACAGTACCTCTTTCTATTTACCCAAAACTAGTCGAGTTAGACCAGTGACACAATCCATTCCGTCATAGTTCTTTCGTGTGACTATTTTTTTTTACCAATAACCGTGCCCTTTTCTTTTTCTACATAGTCTGAGTTGTGCCTAGACCAAGTTAGCAAATAATCACATTGAAATGTAGGCGGTTCGTTCATTTCTAGCACGGACACGTATTCGATCCAATTGACGAAGCAGTATGCCGAGTGTTACTCGGAAAGACCTTTGGAAATGAAATGTCACTGATTTTCTGTACATCACCTACGCGTGTATATAGTTCCTGACAGGCGTCTGTTTGTGTCTGTCAATTGGGTCTCTCTANCTCTCTAGGTCGTCCGGTTGTGTTTGCACGAGTCTGTGTATGGGAGCACGTGACTGCCTGATTCGGACAGAACACTAACTATTGTGTGTGATCAGTTTAATTGTTGCCTGAAACGCGATTTCCAAATAGTGCCAACCCCGCAGAAATCTGTCCATTAGATTGTATGAGAACGTAGATTGAAGAATCCTATAAGGAACAGAATGTTTTCCGCAACCCATCACGAAAGATCGATTGCAAATAATGTTGCGACTCAATGCTTGGTTTGACGGAGTGCCATAAGGAAAGTTTATTTTGGCATAATTTTCGGCTTATATGCGTACGGCCAAACACAAATTGTAAAGTTCAAAGTACTGAACCCACAATTCTTCACACGCACCCACAGACATGCCTTATCACACTTTCCTTTGAGAGACCCTATCCTCCGAAAAGAACATTGAAGCTAATCCTAGCAACCCGAAAACTGATATCTGTTGATGTATCTCGAGTGCAGGTTGTGCACCTATATGCTAGTTGAGACCATGACAGTTCTCATCAATAATCGATTGAGTCCTGTCAGTTTGTTCCCATACCCAACGCACGTACAGCTAGTACGTCCTCTAAATATTTTCGTCCAGTGATATTAAAATACTTGTGGACTGAACGTCACTAGACGTGTTATTATTAAGCCGTTCACTTTCATTTGTGACTACAGTTCCCTCTGTCTTGTATGTTAAACAAATAGGTCAACAACTCAAGAAGCGTATCGTTGCCACCACACTTCCTAACAGCTATATGAATCGGTCTAGAAATTCAGTTAATGTTGTATACTTCACAGTCGTTGGTTCTGCATTGATTATCGGTTCACTGGTCTATCGCCTGTTCCACACAAATCAGTTTTTTTTGCTGCACCCCGTCCTTCTTTCAAAGATTATCAAACATATTTTACGGTATGATTTAGGTGAAAATTTGTTCAGCTTTTTTTAGTCAATGAGCGTATTATGTATGTATTTCAAGGTGCTAAGATCTGCCCTGTCCTTGGAGTGTTAAACCCACAGAACATGCATATTTTTTTCACTACACCCATTTATTTCAAACCGGTCTGCACTCTTGAATTTATCTGATAATCTGACTACCAGTCTGAACGGTGTCCGTCAATTTGGTTACTTCTAGTTAACACTCCAGCCGTCTGTGGAGTTAACATCATTCGGTACTTGAGATCATCTTAGAAAGTGCATCGATTTATCCTTCTCATGCATATTTCCCTAGTTGGTCCTTCGGTATTTGTCAATCAGGTCCAGTCGTTGTCAAACAACCGGTCAACTCTTGTTCTATGTTCCCACCCGTGAAAGCTATTGTTCATCTCTTCGATTAGTTACCTAAAATAATTATTTTCCTCATATGTCATTCGTTTCCAATTAGGCTTTTCTGTCTTCCACTGTTCCACGTAGCACTGAACCGTATGATCTCTCTATTCAGCACTACAATCTACGCTACAAATACCCCCTTCGATCAATTCTATCCTCTTTAATTTGATGTATCACCCTGCCAGTCTCATCGTTCAACTGAGCCCGATTGTCAGTTGGTTGGCTCAAGAAAACAATCGGGATGATAATTCCACTGCTGCGTATTCGACTCGTTCACGATCCGACAAACGCTAAACGTTTCCATTCAATTGTTAATGGTTTATGTTAGAAAACCGAATTACCTCAAGGGTATAAGACAAATAGAACAAAGCCGTTTGTTGTTATACCGTGATAACCATCACTTATTGGAATGCAATAAGAGTGGTTTTACTGGTTTGGTAATGGGTCCATTCGATATGACATCAATGATAACCAAAAAATATCATTATAGATACAATGGTGACATTGAACTAGATGACAATAATGAGTTTGATAGTTTTGAATAAATATTACCATTTAGGTTTTATTGAAACGACATCATGTTTGAAGATTGACCGTTGAGATGCATCACTCCACATGCAAACGTTCTAGATGAACACTACTTAAGTGTTTCAAACATAACAATTAGGGTTTACCTTTGTAATCGTCCAAAAATAGGATCAATCGATGCTCATCATTGTCAACCTTTTTTCTCCAACTGAAGCATCAAGGTTAACGTTAAGTTCGAACTACATGTCAGCCATGTGTCTCCGGTACTATCATCATAGAACAGGGTATGGTTGCGTGTCGGAAACGACAACACGGTAGCAGACCGTTCTTGAAGCTACCGCATAATCTCCACCCATATTGGAACCCAATAATGCATATTACCATTTGTTGATGACACAGAAATAACTGATAACTTTTACCAATCACATCAATTTTACAGAAATTTAGTTTCTGTGGGATGATATTGTCAAAAGATTTCAAAAGGGGAGCACAATGCTTTATTTTTGAATTTGTTATTATCAGTGCATTGCTGAACATAACACGAGCTTAATGAATTCCTTATATTGGAAGCGTAAACAGTTGTGACACTTTTTTGCTTGATCCTTATCAGTTGTATATATTGCAACTTTACCGTGCTGGAATTGGCCTAGTACTTTATCAAGCGGCTGAACTGTATTGGCCACGTGCTGGGATTGTTTATTCATACATCGTTTCCAATCAGTAGGAAGGATGGTCAATTACTTGTGCCCCCGTGAATGACTTGTACTAAACGGATCTACTAATGGGAATTTACCAAAGCAAGCGATTGTTTCCCAACTGCGAAACAATCCGGGGTTGCGTTTCGACTCGCAATATACAGATAAGATATGTTGTTGGTGTACGCTACGTTTGGTTTAACAATATTCACTGATGTGAAACTTTGACAGTACTAAAAATGGGCCCCATTCTATCATCATGTTATTGTGCAAAAATTTCAGTCGGTTTCATTCAGATTCAAACGTTTCCCAGAATGCGCGGTGGCTAGCATAGCTATGCTACATCTGGCTTGCAATGTTTCCTATTTCACAACGGAAGTTTTGGAAGTAGTTCCACTTCCCAACAAAGCATACAGTCACCATCTTGGACTCGTATTACGGGAGATAAACAAAGGTCTTCTTACCGACATTCTAAAGGTTATCTCATTATCAATTGACAGTGTTATTGGAAATGAAAAAAACAAGCCTGAATAAAATCATCAAACACGTTTGAGAGTTAGTTTTCGCTGGGGAGGCGGGGGGCAGGCGTGAATTACCAGTTGACACAAAATCTCAAACTCGTTCTGCTTGTGGCTATGAGTCGGTCTCAATCAGATTTCCAGTATAAGCCTCCATCATCTTTTACCAATACTTTATGGGCTTGTGCTCACAATACCACAAACATTCCTCATGTTCTCATTATGCCGCATTCCATGACCTTTTTTATGCGTATCATCAACCGAAAAATTATCCGGTTGGAATATGGTCCCCGTCTGATAATTTGGAGACCAGGTGTTGCCAAATCTGATGATGCATACACATCTGGTTGCAGAATGTTGCATAATGAACGCTCTGAAAATAAAACAACAATTCCAATTTTTGTAATCACCAAACCAAGACAGCGGTTTTGACAACATAAGATTGGTGGAAGAAGTCACGTTTGTTATCACAACTTTTGGTTGCCTTAAATAAACGTTTGAGAAACAATTGCAATCACAGCTACTTGTTTTTTTGATGTCATCAACTGGGCACTTCTCTATTGTTGAACTCAAGAACGAAATACATATACATGGTCGTCACATTTAAGTATCAGGCAAATAAAACAAAATTATTGATCGGGGTCTGTGTTTCCATTTCCTCTTCTGTTTCAGCTATTACTTGCTTTGCTCACAGCATCGGGATACAACACGGAGAACATGATACCAGTTGAAGCGTTCCGGTTTCTACTGTGGCTAGGTAAGTGCAAGAATATGCACAGATCTGTGTTCAATGTACCCCAGTTTCTCACACATTTCAATCGACCCAATCCTCACAATTGTCATCATACTCAATTTACCCATAACCGAAAGGCATAATTCCGTGCCCAATTTACACTTCTAGCATAAAGCACATATTGCATTTAAACCCGTATTGATCAAATTTATGCAACCCCGGCTTGCATCACATTTTTTTCTCCCCGAACGCTTACTGTTTCGAGCCCCATTCATGGGTTGGGAAACGCTATTTCCGTACATCAGATGCAACATATGTGTACTAATATCCACATGTGTTTTTGCTTCTGTTAGTCGAACAACAATAGCATTTACGAGTTCTCAATTTTGTGGACGGTTGCTAACACACTAGTTGCAAAATAACAAAGCCTCAGTAAACGTCAAATATAATTGATCTATAACACTGACTCATAGTCACGAGACAAGTAGTGTATCTTCATTCTGCTCTTCTTTATTTTGAACACTGAAGGCGGTCGCTTTTGCATTGAGTCCATCAAATTGGCTGTCGAACAGCGTTTGCCAAATTCCTTTAATATATGTTGCATCCAGATCACCGATGATCATTGTATTCCTGATTCTAACAAAGTAAACGGATTGGGGTGACAATAAAGTCTCAATTTTTGGGCGGTAATTGAATGACATTGACATTGAACTTGTCATCTGACCAACGGATTTCCTGACCATCAGAGTGGTACATACGGAAGACTACCAGCAACGTGCAGAGTATTTGCGTTCATTCTAACTCATTAGACGAGATGGATATTTGCTGTCTTCGACAAGTGAACCGAAATCACTGGAAAATTAGATCATAAGATTAACTTTATCGATTTGTTATACTGCTCGTCAGACACTAAGAAATAAAATGTTTTTCTTCCGTTTTTATTTATTGAGTATACAAATACACAGTCAACTTTCAGGGAGGGGACTGCGGCATCCTGGGAGTCACAGAAATAAGGATGACGGTCGGCGGTGGGGCGGTTTGAACCCGGGACTTCCGGGTCACAATTTCGCGGCCTAACCACTTGGTCAACACCACTAGCGAGATATACCCAATATCAAACCGGCAAGAGATGCGATTCCATCGATATAAGCTCTCCATTGTTATGGGTTCACCAACGAATTCATACCCAGAAACATCAGCTGCAGTTCAAAGTGAATCATAATTATCCAAAATGAGAGAGAAAATTGTAGTTAACCTCCTTGGACTATCCTCCAAATTGGTTCTGTTCAACTTTCCCTAGCTGTGGTCGAACTCAACCATCACGTTTGGTTCCGTATGCTCTTTTTTAGTGCTCTTTTTTATATTTTAAAGGAAAAATTCCGTCGATTATGAAAACAAAATTGGGCTTGCACAAATCAGGAAGAATTAAGTCGTTGGATTCGTATGCCTCTCGACTAAGTTGCCCTTCAGGTTCGACGATAAGCCGAAAACTCTTAGATGTTTCACCTGTGGTTTGGCGTAGTGATTCTGTAAAAGGCCTACTCAACCAGCCGCACACCTCAAGGTCAACCTTTGGAGGTCACCTATTATATTCCTTAGACTATATGTTTAGTTATTTTTTTTATGAGGGATTTTATGTGGATAGTTTGTAGCCATATCATTTAGCAATCTACTTAAGATAGAACATTTCCAGGAATTAGCTTATTTACTGGGCACTGAATTAAAAAGTTAAGCTTTATAGAATACTTTTATGACACAAATAAATACTTCCACCAAACAGGAATCATTTAGTTGAAACAATGAACTTCTATGTTGCTTTGTAAAAGAATATTTTTCCAACCTGTGCTGTAATGTTTGAACTAATAGAAGCTTTTAGCGAGACATTCAGAGATACGCACACCCAAAGGGTGATAAATAAGATAAACAAGAAAATTGTGGTGGAAGGTAACATTCGTTCTTACCCATAAATATCGATATACATGCATGATATGGGAAATTGAGGTGTTTTACCAAAATGTGAGTTCGATCAATGACTGTAGATATAGTTCCCCGTATAATTTAAGGAATAGTTGAGAAACATTTGTAGCTGTATTGCCAAGGGGAGAGATATAATACTGATTCAAGTGAGGAACTAGCTGATACATCATCGACTTGATGGTACACGTGTTCATTGCATTCTTGATTATTTTACATATAACATCTGAATTGTAGGTTTTATCTGATTCTTCGTCACGTAGTCGTTCTCATCAGCAGCAGTAGATTTTCGAAAAGTGGTGACACCTTCAATGAGAACATTGCTTTCTTGATCATGTTCAGGCTAATGACTACTCCAACGACTTTACCTGTATGACGTAAGCTGAATTCCACTATTTTCTTCCTAATGGGCTGTTGCTGGGAGATGAGAGATCGTGGCAATGAACCCGAAACATCGAACGGACGAGTATTAGAGGACAATTAGGTTTATGCACTGCATGAATGTATGATACCTGAGACCTGGCCTTTGGAGCTTTCAAATTCCACCATTGTGATTTGACTTCCACGTCGTAGACGTTTCAGTAATACGGTCATTTGATTTTTCACAGCACCCGCCTAATTACTATCCGGATATAATTGTGAAATTTTGTTTTTTTTAGTCAGAATTGCTATCATGTTTTAACGCAGTAAGCGTACATTCTTCGCGCTTTTGGTTACTCACTGAACTAGCAAAGGCAAACCCGGTAAATTGTGAATAAACTTCCACGGATAAAGTAGTTCTGTTCACTGAATTGCTAGGATTCACAGATAATACGAAATATCATATCACAGCAGTCAATATGGTAGTCAGCAAACACTTATGTACATCTCCTTCAGTACGGTCGTTAATCGCTTGTTAAAAATATTGCCTTGGTTGGTTGGTGGTCCGCGGCGAGTGGGATGTTTGCAAACACTGGTGCAATTAGTGCAAACGAATGCGTGGATACACAAAAAATTGTGGAATTTGAAATTGAGCTGCTAAGTAGTGTCTGTATTTTGAGCACCCAATCTACCGAGAATGTGGAGAACCTTTGCAATGGGGGCACTATTGCGAACATGGAGAAACAGGTATTTCGGAAGTCCAATTGTACGAACGTTTTGGGTGACAGGACTGTCCTGAAACGAAAGTCCTATAGGTTCCGCAGTTCGGAACATGAAGACATGTGGAGTAATAACCATTACATGGTTTAAACTTTGCTACTAGTTAGTTTTCTCTTGGACATCTTTCCTATTATCGGTGCAACTCTCCAGGAAGTCGATCGACAAGGAGTCCGAAATACAGAGTGAACGACGTTGCGGAGTTTTTAAAATGTGCTTTCCATAAGAATAATTAGCCAGTCACATTTCAAGTCAAGACTGCGACTCACTTCCATGTCATAAGCCAACCTATCCACTCTCGTGGACAGATGGATGCATTTCTGTTGAATAGCCAATCCATCGGATGAAAGTCAATGATAGTGAATACATTTCCCTTTAACCATAGCGAATTCATATGCACGATGTTTAGACATCAATTGTGATTAGTACAGGGGCAACAATCAACCAAAATGTTCTATCACTGTGCATTATAGACATTTCTTCATTTTAGGTTTGTCTTTTTAAATCAAACCACACCAACATCTTCGCTTTTACCTATTTTTTTTAAAAGAGGGACCGGTGTTTATTCCCATAACTGGCAAAAGTGAGGTGTGGAACAAAATGAGAGTAGACTGATAAAATTGTTGGACATTTGGGAGAATGCTCTGAGACGAACAAAAAAACAGACCATTTCCGTTTGGATTATTGCATGACAAGTGAACATAAATAATGCCATCTTAGTTGACATATTGTCTTGAGTCTAGACGTCATTTAGAATGGAATGAATTGGGTTGCTTTTTTACAATGGCAGAGCTTAGCTTCACAATGAGCTGAGTGTCAGCAAAACGTCAATGGAACACTACATGTTAGTTCTGTCATCCACCGAACAGTTTCAACGGATATTGTACAAGAAAACTAAAAGGCAGTGGAGATCAACTTTGGTAGTTTGGTGCAACAGAAGCTGAACCTGACTACCAGGGGTTCCTTAAATAATTATGCATCAAATACAATCTAGTAAACTTTTACTAATTAAAGTGAAGCACAGGAGTGCTCGTTTTCCTTGATTGCCAATATGTAAAAAGTAGAATAATTATTATTTACAAACTAAAACATAATTTACTTTTCATTAATGACTGACGTACAAGGCATCGTCGTCACACACGTTTGGATACCATTATCTGAGATGATGTTATTCAATTGGTCTGGTCAAGAATTTCTACGGTGTGTGTGTGGGTGGGTGGATAAGAAAAACACAACCTCCCTTCGCATTAGATGAAGGATTGCAAAGCCAACTGAAACGATGTAATACGTCACTTGGTTTGGCTCTATGAGGTTTGAAACAATCGAGTAACCGGCCAATATTTGTCCGATTTTCCTGCGGTCACATGTCTTGAGGGTATGTTGAGGTGCGCATGTGCGTTGATGAGGCAGGGTGGAACATATCCTTAACATTTTTGTAAGCAGAACGTGAATCATTGTTGGTGATTTCAGTATGTTCCCATGGATGTGCCATTGCGCAAGCCGATTGGTTGTGTGAGCATACCTTGCAAAATTCAATAATTGGTTGTCATTGATGTCGTCTATCTGTTCGAATGTATGGAGCACGGGCAAAACTCACTTGATGAGCTAACAATTGCGGTTGTCACATTCGGTATGTGCTTGACACCTTCGAAGTGCAAAGTGATGCTGCAGGACCAGGTGTCACCTACTCCCTACTCTGAAACGGAATGACCGGAAATTAATTATAATGAATTGCTTTTAGTAATTCTATAGTTGTGTGACCAATGACGGAAGCGCAGCAAAAGGGATAGCCGCTCGCATATCCAATGCTTGAGCAGCATACACTGGACGAAACACCTTTGGCGCAGACACGACGTTTCACCAAAGTTGAAAGATTGTGTATATTGTGCCACCTTCGTCCAGTTCTGCTTTAT